GTGACACTCCTGATTCTTATGCCTATGATGGAAATAGACAGCGAAAGTGGAATGTGGCGACCTACAAATATGGAGCAATGTGGCAATGTGGAGATATTATTTCTTGCACCCTGGACCTTGAGGAAGGAGTTGTGAAGTTTTATAGGTATGAACATTCCTCATGTTTGGAATTTTGCTCTTTTTGGGAAATATCCTGTCATATTCAATACACAAAATTCCTAATTAACCCAGAAAATGAAAGACTTATATTTTCTGATCAGTCTTTGATCCTTATCTGTATTGTAATGTTTATAGTTCATTCAATGTCCTCCAGTCTTATGCTAATGACCATTGCTTTTCAAACTTCAGTCACAGCCTTTCTGCAGCTGTCATTGCATATTACTCTTTACTCTCCAGTTATCTTTAAGTCTGACCTTAATTCCGTCACTGTCTAGTTCCTATATAAAGTTCTCTGGCTAATAGCTGATGTTCTGCATTTTTTATCACTAGCTTAACATTATTGAATGAAAATTTCTTCTTTGCTGTGGACTATTGTTAAGTCAGCTGTATTATACAGGCTAATTAATAAACTTGTTAACCTTTAAACTGTCGTGAACCCTGAAATTAAAAGTGCTGACAGTGTCATGATTTTTTTAAAAATAAATTTTCTTCTGAAATATTTTATTATTATTATAGGAGAGGAGCTGGTGAGAAGATGAGGTAAAAATTCAGTTAATGATGCCTATTTTTTAATTAGAGGGCTGTACTGTGATTTTTATTTCATAAAATTTACATACAAAGTAGGAATTGGTTTTTATAGTGGTGGCATTCTAGGGTTAATGCATAATTGCTGTGCTGCTTCACTAAACATGCAGTACTCTTCAGAAACTTTGTACCTCTCCACTTTTTACTTTCTTTCCTCAGAAATGGTAAGTCACTTGGTCCAGCCTTCAGCAATGTCAAAACTGGTCCTGGTGTGGCATATTTTCCAGCCGTTTCCTTAGCTCTTGGCGAAAACCTGATTGTCAATTTTGGGGCTACACCTTTCCGTTACCCACAGTTTGGTTTCTCCCCTCTTGAAGCCCCTCCCTCGAGTGATCTGGTGAAAGCTCACCGATGTGTCTCTTGGTTAATAAGCTTAGTTGACCTACAAAGCAGTTGGCCTCAGGTAATGTAATCAGTATACTACTGTGGTGATTTTATTATGCATGTATGCAAAATTAAATAAAAATTTCAAAATATTCTGTTTACTGTACGTGGAGGACATGAAAAGTTAGGCATTGTAATTGCTAGTACATTTGTATTTAATCTTTCTGTAACATAACTGTTGCAGGAGCAGCTAAATGGAGGACGTTGGAAAGCGTGTATACTCATTGTTGTGCAGCATATTGCTGCACATTTGGGTCCATTATTAGCTACCCCATATATTGTAGAGGCCTGTCTTGTTCCTGCTTTAGCAGAGATGGCAGAAGTATCACAAGAGACACAAGCCAGCTCACATAGGCTGGGCACTATTGGGCTCAACCTACCAAAAGCACACATCCTTTTTGACTTTCTAATGGCTTCTCTGGAGGCAAGTTTGTTTTATTAGTACCAAAGTAGAATATTTTTCAATAAATATTTTGTGTTGAATTATGTATTGTGTACATGATAAACAAAAATCTTTCATTAATATGTAATTTACATTTACATAATATTCCATTTTAGAGTCATGAACTTCTCAAGTGCCTGGAAAATCTCATCATCTGTCTGCTAACAGGCCACAAGCAGGCAGCAGAAAATATTCATTTTCGTGGCCAGAAATACAATCTCCGTTTGTTGTATGTCCTCCTTTCTCATACTAGCCTCAGGAAGTACTGCCTCAGCCACATACTGTTTGATAAAGTCAGGTAAGCAAGGATTATTGGAATGAGTCTCCTGAAAATCAGCTTTGGAAAGAAAGAATATAATCCCATTGTAGAGTGGATAAATGTATATTGGTGCACATTATTCAATGGAACCAGAGTTCAAGCATAAAAATATTTGACCTTCAAAACCTATGCTATTATTTGTACATTACACATTAGCTATGGTTAATTAGCAGCACACCACAATACAAGCATGGGAATGTGTAAACCACAAGTTTATATTGCAGCATATAGGTGAATAATACTTAAGAAAGAGTATGGAGCTCTTTATTGCATTTATGGCTTAAGAAAAGGCATATTGTAGGATGGATAGAGGGCAATTTGGCAGATGTTAGAAACGTATGTAATAAGTAATAGGTTGCTAAAAGGTTTTATACCGAAAGTGAGACTCAGGTAAGGAATAATAGGAGGCCTTAGACAAGGATGTGTATCGCTATGGTTGTCCAGTATATTTTTTTTTTTTTCAACAGGTCGGCCATCTCCCACCGAGGAAATATATATGTATAAATAAATATATATGTATAAATAAATAAATATGTATAAATAAATAAATATATATATGTATAAATAAATGGGGTTGTAAAAGAAGTGACTGCTAGGGTGTTTGGGAGAGGTGTCAGATTAAATGATGAGTCTGATAAGATATGGGAATTTTTACAGTTACTCTTTGCTGATGAAAGTTTTGAAGAGAAGTTGCGAAGATTGGTGGAGGAGTTTGAAAAGGTGTGAAAAAGAAATTGAACATGAAAAGGTGTGAAAAAGAAATTGAAAATGAACTTAGAATAAAGTAAGGTGATGAGAGTAACAAAGAAGTTTAGGTAATGAAATACTGGTTATCAGATTGGAGAGAGGGAGTGTGGAGGAAGTTAGTGTGTTCAGATATCTGGGCAAGGTGTCTGTAGATAGTTCTATGAAAGATGAAATGAGCCCTAGAAAGGACAAAAGATAAAAGGTAGATGGTGTGTTGAGGCATCTGTGGAAAGAGAAGTTTTATTTATGAAAGCAAAACAGAAGAATATGCCACAGCTTAGTAGTACCAACACTTTTATATGAGTGTGAAGGATGGTCTCTAAATGTTGCAACAAGGAGGGGGCTGAAAGCAGTGAAGATGTCATGTCTGAGAGTAATCTGTGGTGTAAATATTATGCAGAGAATCAGGAACACAGAAATTAGATATTATGGGGCTACAAAAGATATAATTCATTGGGCAGAGGAGGGTTGTCAAAGTTGTTTGGCCATTTACTAAGGATGAAACAAATGGTTGGCAAAGATGGCACCTAAATCTTGTGCAGAGGGAAAGAGGCATATGGGCCATCCATGAATAGTTAGAGGGATGGGGTGAAGGTTATAAGTGGTAGAGGCTTGAGAATCAAACAGGCATGTGTATGAGCCGATTAGATTGAACTGAGTAGAGAATAGTAGTTTTATTATTTGACTTGCTGTTAGAGTGATTCAAGGAAACTAACTGGACTTAAAGTCCTAGAAGTAGGAAGTACAGTGTCTTCACCCCAAAGGAATGTGGATGTTGCTGTTCAGAGGATCATCTGATTTTTTTTTTTTTTCAACAAGTCGGCCGGCTCCCACCGAGGCAGGGTGACCCAAAAAGAAAGAAAATCCCAAAAAGAAAATACTTTCATCATCATTCAACACTTTCACCTCACTCACACATAATCACTGTTTTTGCAGAGGTGCCCAGAATACAACAGTTTAGAAGTATATACATATAAAAATAAACAATTTATCCCTCCAAACTGCCAATATCCCAAACCCCTCCTTTAGAGTGCAGGCATTGTACTTACCATTTCCAGGACTCAAATCCAGTTATATAAAATAACCGGTTTCCCTGAATCCCTTCACTGAATATTACCCTGCTCACACTCCAACAGCTCGTCAGGTCCCAAATACCATTTGTCTCCATTCACTCCTATCTAACACACTCATGCATGCTTGCTGGAAGTCCAAATCCCTCGCCCACAACACCTCCTTTACCCCCTCCCTCCGACCTTTTCGAGGACGACCCCTACCCCGCCTTCCTTCTACAGATTTATACGCACTCCATGTCATTCTACTTTGATCCATTCTCTCAAAATGACCAAACCATCTCAACAAACCCTCTTCAGCCCTTTGACTAATACATTTATTTACTCCACACCTTCTAATTTCCACACTCCGAATTTTCTGCATGTTATTTACACCACACATTGCCCTTAGACAGGACATCTCCACTGCCTCCAACCGCCTCCTTGCTGCAACATGTACAACCCAAGCTTCACACCCATATAAGAGTGTTGGTACTACTATACTTTCATACATTCCCTTCTTTGCCTCCATAGATAACATTTTTTGCCTCCACATATACCTCAATGCACCACTCACCTTTTTTCCTTCATCAATTTTATGATTAACCTCATCCTTCATAAATCTATCCGCTGACAAGTCAACTCCTAAATATCTGAAAACATTCACTTCTTCCATACTCCTCCTCCCCAATTTGATATCCAATTTTTCTTTATCTAAATCATTTGATACTCTCATCACCTTACTCTTTTCTATGTTCACTTTCAACTTTCTACCTTTACACACACTCCCAAATTCGTCCACTAACCTTTGCAATTTTTCTTTAGAATCTCCTATAAGCACAGTATCATCAGCAAAAAGTAACTGTGTCACTTCCCATTTTGTATTTAATTCCCCATAATTTAATCCCATCCCTCTCCCGAACACCCTAGCATTTACTTCTTTTACAACCCCATCTATAAATATATTAAATGACCATGGTGACATTACACATCCCTTTCTAAGACCTACTTTTACCGCGAAGTAGTCTCCCTCTCCTCTACACACCCTAACCTGAGCCTCACTATCCTCATAAAAACTCTTTACAGCATTTAGTAACTTACCATCTATTCCATATACTTGCAACATCTGCCACATTGCTTCCCTATCCACTCTATCATATGCCTTTTCTAAATCCATAAATGCAATAAAAACTTCCCTACCATTATCTAAATACTGCTCACATATATGCTTCAATGTAAACACTTGATCTACATATCCCCTACCCACTCTAAAACCTCCTTGCTCATCTGCAATTCTACATTCTGTCTTACCTCTAAGTCTTTCAATAATAACCCTACCGTACACTTTTCCTGGTATACTCAGTAAACTTATTCCTCTATAATTTTTACATTCTCTTTTGTCCCCCTTCCCTTTATATAAAGGGACTATACATGCTCTCTGCCAATCCTTAGGTACCTTCCTCTCTTTCATACATTTATTAAGCAAAAATACCCTGCTTTTAACATTTCTGTCATGATCCCGTCAGTCCCAGCTGCTTTACCCCCTTTCATTCTACGTAATGCCTCATGCACCTCCCCCACACTCACGTCCTGCTCTTCTTCACTCATGTCTATATGCTTCTGAAATAATAATTATTGAACAAATAAAGGTGACTTCATCCTTTTTTTATTTGGGTCATTGTTTTATTATACTGTAGTTGTATATTCATCATGCTTTACTAATACTGCACAGACAGTTCTTATTTTCAAAAAGATCTACACTGGGTGCTAAAAGCTATATCACTTTTGTGATGATATACATTAAATCAAGCCTCAGAATTTTAATAAATGTTTAATTAAAAATAAATATTGTATAACAGAACAATGCCAGACTTTCTCTTGTATTTTAGGTTTCCCAGTTTTCTTAATATGAAGACAATTGATGAAGAAGGCCTTAGTGAAGTAGTCCCCTCTGTCTGGTGGAGCTCAAAAGATGGCGCTGTCATCACTGGTTGCAAGCAAGCGTATGATGACTCCTGTAACATAATCCATACTGCTGTAAAAGGTGAGGATTTTTTTAACATACCAGCCCTCTCCCACTGAGGCAGGGTGACCCAAAAAAGAAGAAACAAAAGTTTTTGTACTTTTTACATACAGTAATAGGTAAGAAATTGTTGAATGGAAATTAACATGAGTTTTTCTCTACAAAGACACTTCAGTTGTTTGCTAGTAATTTTTGTTTATTCAGGAGTTGTTTGGAATAAAGAAAATATTACAAGGGAAAAGAGCAGCCATTGTTTGATATGATATTCCTGATCTAGCAAATGTAAACAAACATGAAGACAGGAGGAGGAAGAAAGAAGAGTAGTAATAAACTGAAATGACAGTAGATACTAGCAGTGTTTGCATGGAAGTGACTGATACTTGTAAATGTTACAAGAAAAGATTGTATCCAGAGTGTGATTAAGACATTCTGCAACCAACAAATGTGAAGAATGGATTATTGCATAATTATAATTATTTGGGAGTTTGATATTCTTGAGTGCCTGTTCTTTCAAGAACATGATAAAGATTATAAAGTTTTTGCTGATTTGTAGATTGACAAATAGTAATCATTTTTTTTATGTAATAATTATGTAGTAATCATATTAATTTATTTAGCTCTTTTAATATAGAATTACTTTATGTTAATCTAAAATGTGTAGTTTTTCTGTGTGGAATGTTTTGGAAGTTGTTGATTCATTAATACCATTTATATTTTATATTTTAGAGGTTGAAGAGATACAGGTATCTATCCTGCGGCAACTGTTAAGCGTGAATGATGCTCCCAATTATCAGGATTCCAGCAGAGCTCTGTTTTTAGCCAAGTTTCGAACCTTTCTTAAGGAGCATGCACCGGGATCTCGGGTAAGTAGGAGAAGGTTGTGAAAAATTTACTCTTTGTACCACTCTACAGAAATCCTTGACATACACTGTACTGTATATGCATTTTTTGCTTAATTTCCTGGTTCGTCTAGTGTGTGTACATCTGCTGATATACACACTGTATAGTAGATATACTATACAGCTTGTCATTGTATGCAGTCTCCTGACACATCTTTCTTGCTGGAGACAAATTGCACAAAGCCAGCAAGTGGCAAAATTAACAGAGTTGTAGTGAGGAATTTTGAGATGTTTTGCATGAGGAATAGACTTCTTCAATCAAGAAGCCTGTTACATAAGCAAAAAAAGTCAGTAAAGTTCCTCCCTGCAATTTTCTTTTTCACCATTTTCCTTGCTAAGCATTGCTTTTTCTCTCTGTCATTCCCTACACTCTCATTCACACACTCCTTCTCTTACTCATGCTAACTAGTGTTTCTGGTTCTTTTCCTTTTTACTTAAGTTATATTCACACACTTGTAACATTCTCTTATTTTGGTTTATTGTCTCCATTTGGGTTTGTTTCTGGTGGAAAGCAGCTTACCTGGAGTTTACCTGGAGAGGGTTTTGGAGGTCAACACCCCCACGGCCTGGTCTGAGACCAGACCTCATGGTGGATCAGGGTCTGATCAACCAGGCTGCTACTGCTGGCCGCACGCAAGCTGACATACGAACCACAGCCCAGTTGGTCAGGTACAGTGGACCCTCGAACAACTGTGGCATCAACTAATGCCAAATTCGTTTAACAGCGCTCTTTGGCGTACAAATATTGGCTCTACCAATGGCGAAAAACTCATCTAACAGCTTTTGTCCCGAACGTGTCCATGCAGCCGGAGCACGGCCTGAGCTGGCCCAGCCACTCCAAGACTGTGTGCCAATGTTTACAGGCCGTTGCGGTCGATTCTATGTGTACCTGCAATATATTTTGTATTATTCCAGTGTTTTTAGTGTTTGCAACTGCCAAATAAGCCACACTTGGCCCCAAGAAAGCTTCTAGTGCTAACCCTGTGCTAAAAAGGGTGAGAAATACTATCGAAATACTATAGTACCACTGTCAGCTGCTGCTGCACCACCATCAGCCGCTGCTGCTGCTGCATTACCGTCAGCTGTTGCTGCATTACCGTCAGCTGTTGCTGCATTACTGTCAGCTGTTGCTGCACCACCATCAGCTGCTGCTGCTGCACCACGGTCAGCTGTACTACTTGAAGATGTGGAGAGACTGTTGTTGGTGTGGCTGATCGAGAATGCCGAGAAACAAGTAACCCCAGAGGGTTAGCCACCCAGGATAACCCAGGAAAGTCAGTGCGTCATCGAGGACTGTCTAACTTATTTCCATTGGGGTCCTTAATCTTGTCCCCCAGGATGTGACCCACACCAGTCAACTAACACCCAGGTGAACAGGAAAAAATGCCAGGAACTAGTCCTCATTTTGGTGAATTTAAGGCCAGCAAAGGTTGGTTTGAGAGATTTAAGAATTGTAGTGGCATACACAGTGTGATAAGGCATGGTGAAGCTGAAAAATTTCAACCCCAACAAGTGTTTAATTGTGACGAAACAGGCCTGCTCTGGAAGAAAATGCCAAACAGGACTTACATTACTCATTACTCAGGAGGAAAAGGCACTCCCAGGATACAAGCCTATGAAAGACAGGCTAACTCTCATGTTTTGTTGTAATGCTAGTGGGGATTGCAAAGTGAAGCCTTTACTCATGTATCACTGTGATAATCCCAGTGTTCAAGAAAAACAGTGTCTCATCACTCAACAATACTCTTCAGTAAAGGTAAGTGTCATTTTAGCATTTATTTATGTATGCATTGGGCATGTCTCATTGTTTTCTGTGTAGGGAAATGTATATTTCATGTAGAAAAAAAATAATTTTTTTTAATACTTTTGGCTGTCTGGAACGGATTAATTGGATTTCCATTATTTCTTATGGGGAAAATTAATTTGACTAACGGCTAATTCTACTAAAGGCTAGCTCTCTGGAACAGATTAAAGCCGTTGGTTGAGGGTCCACTCTACTGACTTTAGGTGCCTGTCCAATGCCTTCGTGAAGACAGCCAGGGGTCTATTGGTTATCCCTCTTATGTATGCTGGGAGGCAATTAAAGTCTTGGGCCCCAGATACCTCTTGTGTTGTCTCTCAGTGTACTCGTGGCACCCCTGCTTTTCGTCAGGAGAATGCTGCATCTCCTGCCAAGTCTTTTGCTTTCATAGGGAGTGATTTTCATGTGCAGGTTTGGTACCAATCCCTCCAGGACCTTCCAAGTGTATATTATCATGTACCTCTCTCACCTGCGTTCGAGGGAATAAAGCTCAAGGACCTTCAACTGTTCCCAGTAGTTTAGGTGTCTTATCATACTTATGTGTGCCATGAAAGTTCTTTGTACACTCTCCAGGTCTGCAATGTCGCCAGCCTTGAAGGGGGCCGTTAGTGTACAGCAGTATTCCAGCCTAGAGAGAACAAGTGATTTGAAGAGAATCATCATGTTAATATATTTATATTTATAAATAGTCCTAGGTAGTAGGTTGGTAGACAGCAACCACCCAGGGAGGTACTACCGTCCTGCCAAGTGAGTGTAACATGAAAGCCTGTAATTGTTTTACATGATGGTAGGATTGCTGGTGTCCTTTTTTCTGTCTCATGAACATGCAAAATTTCAGGTACGTCTTGCTACTTCTACTTACACTCAGGTCACACTACACATACATGTACAAGCGTATATATACATACCCCTCTGGGTTTTCTTCGATTTTCTTTCTAGTTCTTGTTCTTGTTTATTTCCTCTTATCTCCATGGGGAAGTGGAACAGAATTCTTCCTCCGTAAGCCATGCGTGTTGTAAGAGGCGACTAAAATGCCGGGAGCAAGGGGCTAGTAACCCCTTCTCCTGTATATATTACTAAATTTGAAAGGAGAAACTTTGGTTTTTTCTTTTGGGCCACCCCGCCTCGGTGGGATACGGCTGGTATGTTGAAAGAAAGAAAGATTTATAAATAGTACATAGTAGGTTGATAGACAGCAACAACCCAGGGAGGTACTACCATCTTGTCAGGTGAGTGTAAAATGAAAGCCTGCAACTGTTTTATATGATAATAGGATTCCTGGTGTCTTTTTTCTGTCTCATAAACATGCAAGATTTCAGGTACGTCTTGCTACTACTTCTTACACTTAGGTCACACTACACATACATATACGAGCATGTATATACACACCCCCTCTGGGTATTCTTCTATTTTCTTTCTAGTTCTTGTTCTTGTTTATTTCCTCTTATCTCCATGGGGAAGTGGAACAGCATTCTTCCTCTGTAAGCCATGCGTGTTGTAAGAGGCAACTAAAATGCCGGGAGCAAGGGGCTAGTAACCCCATCTCCTGTACAAATTACTAAATTTAAAATGAAAAACTTTCATTTTTTTTTGGGGGGGGGGGGCCACCCTTCCTTGGTGGGATACGGCTGGTTTGTTGAAAGAAGAAGAAAGAAAACATGCAAGATTTCAGGTACGTCTTGCTACTTCTACTTACACTTAGGTCACACTACACTTACATGTACACGTTTATGTATACACACTCATATGAGTTTTCTTGGATTTCATCTTAATAGTTCTTGTTCTTATTGCTTTTCCTTATATATCCATGGGTAAGTGGAATAAGAACCCTTCCTCCATAAGCCATGCGTGTTGTAAAAGTCAACAAAAATGCCTGCTAAAAAGAAAAAGAAGAAAGCCATCAGAGTGGGATGTTTCAATGTCTGTGGATGTTGTGCGAATGATAAGAAAGAGATGATTGTGGATGTTATGAATGAGAAGAAGCTGGATGTCCTGGCTTTAAGTGAAACAAAGCTGAAGGGGGTGGGAGAGTTTCAGTGGGAAGAAATGAATGGGATTAGGTCTCAGGTTTCAAATAGAGTTAGAGCTAAAGAAGGAGTAACAGTAATGTTGAAGGATAAGTTATGGCAGGAAAAGAGGAAATATAAATGTATTAATTCAGTGATTATATGGCGTAAAATAGGGGTTAGCTGTGAAAAGTGGGTTATAGTAAGCATTTATGCACCTGGAGAAGAGAGAAGTGTATAGGAGAAAAAGAGATTTTGGGAAATGTTGAGTGAATGCATGGGGAGTTTTGAACCAAGAGTGAGAGTACTTGTGGTTGGGGATTTCAATGCTAAAATGGGTAAAAATGTTGTGGAGGGAGTAGTAGGTAAATTTGGGGTGCCAGGGGTAAATGAAAATAGGGAGCCTTTAATTGAGCTATGTGTAAAATGAGGTTTGGTATTAAGTAATACATATTTTATGAAAAAGAGGGTAAATAAGTATACAAGGTATGATATACCACATAATGAAATTAGTTTTTTAAATTATGCATTGGTGGATAAAAGGTTGATGGGTAGGCTTCAGGATGTACATGTTTATCGAGGGGCAGTTGATATATCAGATCATTATTTAGTTGTACCTACAGTTAGAGTAAGAGGTAGATGGGACAGAAGGAAAATGGAAACAACAATTAACCCTTTCAGGGTTGGTGCCGTTCTAGTACGGCTTCCACACCAGGGTTGGTGCCGTACTAGTACTCATAAATTCTAGTTCCTTCAAATCTAGCGAGAGAAAGCTGGTAGGCCTATGTTGCGAATAAGAAATTTTATAAAGAACTTCAGAGTGTGGTCTGTTACTATTTTCTACTTAGGCAACAAGATATTGGATCAGAGTTAGTTAAAGGTATTTTAGAGTCTAGGGGAAATAATTTCGACTGGGAAACTCCATAGAATAATATTCAAATTTAGTAAAGTATTTAAATACAATACTTTATCTTCTCTCTGTACCTAATATTATATCTTAATACTTTATGTACAATAAATTTACAAGAATATATATATATTTATATTTAGTTCAAATTCATTGAAATATCACATTAAGTTGGAAGATTAATTTTTGCTTCCCGCAATTAAGTCTTCACTAACATCTACGTCTTTGTCTTAACAAGACTGTGTAAACT